TTGGGTGGTATGGGGGGAGGGAGTGTAAGCAAGAGATTTCGGGTTCGAGTCCTCCTGCTTACACTAAAAAAAAGAAGAAGAGTACAATCCAATATGATGAAACAAATACAACTAAAGTAGTCAAGTTTTCATTTTTGACATAAATACAATTACTAAGTCATTATTGTATTTTTTTGAGAAAAAAAGTTATTGTGTTCAATGTAATTAGGAATTTAGTATAAATGTATTAGTAAGTTTAGTATAACTAATTAATAATTTCTATTAGTAGACATTTATAATTATTAGTATAATTGATAATATCATTCATATTACATATACTAATATGCATTATATAATACATATGAGTAATAATATCATAATCATAAGTTTGTAACTAATTAAATTAAATATTATATATGTATATATAATTATAGACATATATATATATACATATATTAATTTTTTAACGGGTGGTGGGGTGAGGGTATACTTCCTTGCCTCCTACTCCATTTCTAAATAGGGGAAAAAATTTCCCTCCCACCCCAACCCCCACCTCATTATTGCCTCGCAGGCACTCGCTCCAATTGTCATCCCTAGTTGAATTATCTATGGGGTGAAATGACTAAAAGATAACATTATGGGATAAATTGATAATAGTGATATAGTTTAAGGGAGTTAAAATATTAATTATACATCCTTTACAAATTTAAGTTGGCAAAATTTCATTCCAATCTAAGTTTTTGATCACTTTTTAGTCTAAAATTACCACATGAGCCATATAAAATCATTTTTTATACAGAAAAAGGTCAAATCTCATTTTTTTAGTAGTAAAAATGAATATAAATTGACATAAATCCTACATTTTTAGGAGAAAAAATGAATATCTTTTAGGTCAAATCTTATTTTTTTAGGGGTAAAAATGAATATGGATCAAGTTATTTGTTTAACTACAAACGGAATTTAATCTTTTTGCCTCTTCAAATTAACTATGTATGGGTATAAATTAACTATGTGATAAATTCAGTATTAAAAGTAGTAAAAAAAATCTAAGTTAGGACCGAATTTTACCGACTTAATTTTGTAGGGGATGTAAATTTACTATTTTGAAAGTAAAGGATGAAAAAATTCATTTAACAAAATGTGAAGGATGTTTTGAATGATTTTCCCATTTTAAAATCATAGAGGAGAGATGTTTATGTGTTGCAGCCCTAATCCCCAAGGGGATAAAATATACGTAACTTATCTTCTACAGGTTTAGTTTTTTTTTTCCTTTTGTGATTTTTGGATAGTGGATATTATTCAAGGTAGTTTTGTATGCAAATTGAAATTTTGAAGTAGTCCATTTCCCAGGATTGAATGGAATGAAGTCCCTTATTCTCTTCAGACAATCATTACTACGGGTAATACCCGCTTGTGAGACAAATAATAGAACTCGTAATTCTAGCCTGGGGACACAACTGTGCAAGAAAACATAACAGATTTAAAAGATGAGATGCGTCATTTATGTTTTCATTGGATCGTGGATCAATAAAAATTTCTTGACTACAATTACCCTTTTATTTTTGCCATTTCATGGCTAAATAGTGCATTAAAGAAGAGGGGATAATTTCAAAAACCTCCCTTGAGATTTTTGACAATTTCACTTGGCTCTCCGGAGGTTTCAATAATTACATAGACCTCCCTTGGTCTAATCAAATGACTAAAATGTCCTCCACTTAATAATTACATAGACCTCCCTTGGTCTAATCAAATGACTAAAAGACCTCCCTGGAGGTTTCAATAATTACATAGACCTCCACTTAATAGTTAATTCATAAAGGGACATTTAAAATTGAAAAATACTTCTTATTATTCTACTTGTCATTGTCATTTTCTAATCTCAAATAACAATCTCCATCAATTTCTAATTTTCATCTCTTCCTCCCTCTTTCCCTCCCTCCCCCTTTGAGAGTTGGAACATAAAAAAATGACTAATATGTTTGTTAAGCAAAAAAGTCTAGCAATTAGTCATTAGTTATCTCTTTTATTTATTTATTGATTGTGATTTTACTATAAAAATAGAATTTTGTCTTTATTTTTAAGAGTGCTAGAGCAATGATAAATTATGTTCTTAGGGACATGGGGGCATTTCTTAGTTGGATTAATCTTTTATATACTAACAGTGCATACATTATCACTATTGGATGCATGACAACTCAACTAAATTTAAATTTAAAATCCAAATTTTACTCTTGTGCCATGCATCCAACCGTGATAGTGTATATACTGTCAGTGTATATAAAATTTACTCTTCTTAGTTTACTATTGGTAGTGGTGGTAGTGAGTTACATTGACAAGAATTAGCAAGTAATGAATTTTGAAATGAGTCGGAGTCGCTGAACTTTGTTTGTTTTAATAAGTATGACACGTACAAGAAATTAAAGATTAAAATCTTATTTTGTTTTGTCTTGTTCTTTAAAGAAGGGTATTTTAGGATATTTATGAAAAATATAGGTTATTGGGTCTATATTGTTACATAAACCTTAAAAATAAGGGAGGTAAGTGTAATTTTTAAAACTTGAGGGGAGCTCTTTGTAATTATTGGAAACCTCAAGGGAGGTTTCTGAAATTATCCCAAAGAAGAGTTCAAAAGATGGAGAGACAGATGGAGACAGAATGTCCACAAGATAAAATTAGATATGATGGAAAAAGACAAACTTGAGTTTGATGAGAATTGGCAAAAAGCAAGTCGAACGCTGTTTGCATACCGCTATGATTGGGTGCTTTATTATACATTTGGGTGAGGGTTGGTTATACATTGAAGATGAAGCTCGAGTCGAATTAAATTTGAACACATTTAATATTAGATACCATGATCGAATTCGACCAAAAGGACATTCCAATAAAAATTCGTAACCAATCCAAGAATCTTTTTTTTTAAAATTTTTTTTGGAAGTTAATATTTACAATGTGATTTTGTGAATTAGAATTCTTATTAATTTTAATATGAATTCAATTGAAATTCTTAGTATAGATCTAAGTATCTATATATCTATATTTAAATTTCTAAACATTATACGTTAAATTTGTACTACATTCATTGTTTTGGTATTTCATTTGTAGAAACTAAATTTAATGACGAATCTAATAATTTTGCTAAAAAACAGCAAACGAAGATCATTTAAATAAAGAATAACTTTTTTATACACTTGAAGTCAGATTTTCAATTCTTTTTTAACTTGATATTGAATTTGATCTCAAGATAAAAATATAGCACTAAACATGAATCTTTGTTAGGGTTAAGTTCTATCCATTTGTAATCATTAGTCCAGTGGTCAAAGAAGAGTTTTTAAAATTATTTTCATTATCAGATTTGGGGTTTAAATCATGTGCTTAACAGTTAAGATAAGAAGGATACGAGGAAGAATGAGAAAGTAAAAGAAAAAAAAAAGTGCCATTCATTTGCAACCCTGAATCGACATCAAATAATATTCTAACTTACGGGTTACTTAAATTTGGTCTAGTGGCAATATTGGCAAACAAAAGGACGAGGCAATCAAATCTAATGCCGATATTGTCTAGGGTCAAATCAAACTGTATAAGTATGGCTCCATCCCTACAACAATCAATTGTCCATGTCTCTCTCTCTCTATAAATAAATAAATAAATATATATACAGTGGCAGCGGCGGAGCTAGGAATTGCAATTAGGAGGGGCGAGTCTCTGTTATTTGGACAAAGTCCAAATAACTTTCAAATATTATTGTTTGGTTCCTTGAGAGGGGGGCAAAATGAACATTTTTATCAATATTTTTGGACGGGGGGCAAAACAATATAATAAAAATTTTTTTACTTAGGAAATTTTTTTATAACAATTGGAGGGGGGGCAAAGTGAAATTTTTTATCAATATTTGGAGGGGTAAAACAATATAATAAAAATTTTTTTACTTAGAAATTTTTTTTTTAACAATTGGAGGGGGGGCGGTTGCCCCCCCTGGCCCCCTCTTCCCTCCGCCCCTGTATATATATATATATATATATATCCATCACAAACATGTATATATCCATCACAAAACAAATACTCCATGGAAATAGCAACTTGTGCCAAGCTTTCTCACTTCTTCATTCTTCTCCTGGTGGCAACCTCTTGTTAGTCTCTCTACTCCTGTACTGCATACGTTAGGGTAAGTTTGATGGTCATATTGGCTCCTGTGGTAGCTGGTATTGAGAATCTGGAAAGGTTAATAGTTCAAAAAAAAAAAAATTCATTTAAAAATAAAGAATAACAAACCACATATTTAATTTTCAATAGAGCAAAAACCTGAATTGGTAATTATTTAAATTCGACTCTTATCATTGTTTTTTTGTAAAATGGATGGTGCCATAGTGGAGTTAATGGTGAAAAACATGTGGGAACTCAAATCAGAAAGTCAAGACAAACAGAAAAATGAAAAAGAAAAGAACTTATGCGAAGGTGACAAAACGAAATAGGCAATAGTTTTCATTACCGTACTTGAAAATTGATAACAAATTTGGGACCAGCAAAATAAGACCGCATGACCTTTCATTCGAACGAAGGGCTGTTATATCAATCATGACGTTAAATATCTCGAGTCCATGTTGACTCAAGCTGAATCTCAAGATAAAATTCTGAAGGTGGGTGTTTGGGTAGATAAGTCCCTCGCAGGATTTTAAAAGTTGTCGGCTTTTAAAGTTATCGTGGGAATTAGGTTTATTTGTAAAAATATTCTTACTTTCTGTAAGAAAATGTAAGGAAAAAGAAAACTCATTCCCAGGGGCTTGGGGATAGTTACTTCTTAGCAACATGGCACCCTATGGGGTTTTCTATCCCACATCGGATTGGAGAGGGAGGGTGTTTGGGTAGATAAGTCCCTCGCAGGACTTCAAAAGTTGCCGACTTTTGAGGTTGATGTGGGATTAGGTTTATTTGCAAAAACATTCTTACTTTCTGTAAGAAAATGTAAGGAAAAAGATAAAATTCTGAAATCGAATATGACGTGTATTAGGGTTTGATTTGACTCGTTTTAGCAATTCGAGGTTTCAAATATTATTCTGCTTTGAAGGATATGACACCCACACACAGGATGCATGGTTATCAAACAAGAGTGTACAGATATCATTTCCCTTCATTTAGAAGTGAACTTGATTTGGTCTAGTGGAAAAATTGGAAGATAACAAGAAAATGAATCCCCATGCTCGGGTAATTTTCTGCTGTCCGACTCTATACATTCTGCTCCTTTCCTACTACAAAGAACCATCAGAAGACTAATACTCCGGGAAAATGGGGAAAATGGCAACTTCAGCCAAGCTTTCTTACTTCTGCATTCTCTTCCTGGTGGCAAACTTTTGTTAGTCTTTCTCTTTCTCTCTCAAGTCTCAACGCATATGCTGCATCTGCAAACATTAGTGCATGCCACATATGGCCATGTGAAGCTGTAAAAGACCTTGTATTTATATCATAAAGAAAGTTCAGCCAGCTTTTATGCCCAACAAAGATGTTCAACTTGCTTAGAATAACTGTGTCATCGTTTTCTTATTCGAAGCAATTTAACGTCCAAATAGACCATACCAAACAGACACATACTAAAAGAAAGTTCAGCCAATAGATAATGGGTTGTTGCTATCAAGTTTCGCAGGCATTCAGTAACATACTTAAATTATACTTCACTTATCTTGCCAATGCGTATAATCATAATTTATGCACTGCCTTGCATTTATATCTTCCCAATATAATTATACTTTTTTCAAACAATTAACACCAGACAGACCCACTAAGCAGTAAAAACAACAAGCAATAGTTAAGAAAGACGAGAAGCACTGAATAAAAGCAATAATAAAGAAAGGCAAACAATTCTTGATTGTGACAAGGAAGGCATTAAAAAAGCTATCAATTTATGAGTTTATCTAAGAGGTGCTTAGTAGGAACTTGTTAAGATTACAATCACATATTAGTTGTTAAGAAAAATGATATACCCCCCCCCCCATAACTATCTAAAATAAATGGAAGGGAGGGTTATGAATGTCAGTGTGTACGTTTAATTGATAAGTAAGAGTGTAAGTTTAGTGTAATAAGGTCCAAGAAAGCCTTGGATTTATCCATGGAAATAGAAACCAATGGAAGGGGAGACAAAAAGGGAAGAAAAAGAAAATAGTGGGAAAAAACAGAGAACGATATATATATATATGCCTGTAGAGGTTTACATGGGAGAAAGAAAGAGCGTAACGTAGCCAGGGACAACCTTGCCGATGATTCCAATTGCATGGGACAAATCCAAATTCAAAGAAACCTCGGCAAGTCATCCCTGGCTGCAATGCGCTCTCCATCTCTTCATGAAAAACTCTCCAGACCAGAACCCACTACATTGGCCTCTCCTCCATATTAGCTATATGCATCACACACTGAAATTAAGTTCATGATGAAGTGTGCAACGGGAACTGACAATTCTTAAACTATGTTCCCTGCTGAAAGAAGTTGTACAATGTTTCCTATTTATAGGCAAAATGATGCATGAATCAATGAGCCTGTCATGCAAAATTGCATATATTCGCTTGCTTCCACTATGGATAGCTTTTAGCAGGAGCGAACATGGATATGACACTTGTAAAGGCTCTAAATTCTTGCTTGGTTGCATTTAAGCTACTTAGGTACATCATACTTGTATGCCAATTTCAGTAACTATCTTATCTTATTTTAAAGTCGGCTGGTGATGGAGAGGGAGATTCCCACCTTTTTTTGTTCCTTTCGGTCTTTTTAGTTTGAGTTATTATCGTTGATTAGTAACCTTAATCAGTAGATTAAGACCTCCTATGTCCTTTTAGGCGTATCATTGGTAAATCTAGACACTTTTTTGATATGACAACCTAGCTGCACAATCTGATGTAGACTATTGTTTTTCTCTCACCGGAAATGGAGGTTTTAGATTCTCCTACTAAGTGGACTGCTTGAACCACCTGCTCTTGGGTCGGTGGTAGGGCTGCAAACGAGCCGAACCGAGTCGAACTTTGAGCTAATCGAGCCGAGTCTCAACTAAATTTTACCGAGCTCGAGCTCGAGCTCGAGCTCGACGAGCCGGCAAATTTCGAGCTCGAGCTCGACTCGAATCAAGTCGAGCCGAGCTCGAGCTCAAAAAAAAATAAAAAATAAATATTTTATTTTTAAAAAAATAAATAAAATAATATTTTTTTCTTAATAAATAATAAAATATTAAGGATATATACGTAATTTTACTATAAAAATAAAAAATAAAAAAAAATATATATAATATACGTAATTTTATTATTAAATAAAAATAAAAAAAAAAATATATATATATATATATATACCCAAGCTCGCGAGCCGGCTCGCGAGCTAACGAGCTTAATATTCTGAGCTCGAGCTCGAGCTCGAGTTCGACTCGAGCCGGCTCGAGCTCGACTCGAGCTCGATTAATAACGAGCTCGACTCGAGCTTGACTCGAGCAGCTCGCGAGCGGCTCGCGAGCAGCTCGATTCGTTTGCAGCCCTAGTCGGTGGCCACCACCAAGCCCTTAAGGCTTTGGTGAACCCTTACCTCCATCCCACCAAAATGTCACTCTTGTGGCTCTGTTTCAAATCCAGACGGGTGCGTTGTGCACCCGTCTGGTCCGGTGGTGGTTCTGTTCTCATAAACTCAGTTGAGCCTCCCTTAGATAGAGTAGGAGTAGGAGTAGGGATGTCAATTGACAAAAAAAAAAAAGAAAAATACTAAGTGGACTGCTTGTGGTCCTATTTGGCCGTGGACCCAGAAATTCAGAATTGTCGGGGAAAACTTGGTTGAGAACGAAAATGAAGGGGGTAGTTTACTTCTGACCACAATGTTGAGGGGGCATATCTGATTGTGTCAAGGATCTATTTGAAAACAAAAATATTTTTCATTGCCAAAACCAATTTTCAAAATATTAGGACCCTATCGATGCAACTTTTTGCCACTTCTTCTTGAGTTTCCAAGTTAGATTTCAATAAAAAGCCATGAGCGTCAATGGTTTCAATCTGAATTTCTTTTCTTATCAACAGAACTAAAATTAAATAAGGAACCAAAATGGTTCATCGACTCATTTGGTATTAGTTCGAATCTTACCTTGGATTTGAATCCTTATGACTCGCTTGAGTGCGTCATGTGGGGTCGCGACGTATTCCCCTGATTTGATGTATTGACTCGGGTTTCAAATGATTCGAGTCGAGGCATGTTCTAGATCAAAAAAAAAAAAAAAGATCCATCGACAGTATATATTAAGCCAAATATATATATATTTTTTTACACTTTAGAGTGCACTAGCTAGGATCAGCTAGCTCTATTGAAGATTTATATTTCACCCGTGGAAACTTTTATTTATTTTTAACTCTAAGAAACTCTTAACTCTCAAGTAATTCTTCGAGCTATATGTGTTTTTTTTTTCCTATTTTTGCTGTGGTCAAGGCAAAAATCTAATTGCATGAGTGTCAATTTCACCCTATCAATGATGAGTTTGAACGAAATAGTAAGTGCTGGACAAACTGTTAAGAGTGCCGCAAACTGTTAATTTATTGGAAAAGTAAAGTAAATGAATGTATTTTCGTCGATATCCAACTTAGCTAGTGGAGATATTAACAACCTGATAATGAAATTTTTTTCGGGTAAACGGTCAACTATAGAATTTATCACTACATCAACATGGCATCTTTGATGTGAAAAAACTCTTCCATTTCATTCCCTCCAAAGCTTATAAACCATAGCACCTAAAGCCAGGTTTCTGACATGGTTAATAAAGCTCTCCTTCTGCAAATGTTGGCCATTTCCTGAATCCTGATGCCATAAGAACCACGAAACATTTGGCAATAAGCTTGGAATCTGCTCTATATATAACCTGAAAAATCACACTTAAAGAATAGATGATCCAATGGTTAATGTTTACAGCTGCAAGTAATACACTAGAGATCAGTAAAAATTCCCCAACATTGAAGCCTATCTAGCCAAAGAATAAAAGAATAACTTGGAACATGGTGATTGAACCAGCCAAGACTAAACCGAGGAACCTTATCAGCAGGATCCCTCAAAAGATAATAGCAGATTTTAAGGTTAATAATTTGACTCTTCCTCCTTTTGTTTTCTTAAATTTTAAAACCTTCCTTGAAAACAAAAAAAAATATCAGTAGGCCATTTAAATGCGACGGATTTTAAGATAACGTACTCAACAGTGCATGCTAGCCTAATATCCATTAAGCACAATTATACTAATACTTTTCAAACATATTAAAAGCTTTGGGTGCGCACAATTTACAACAAATTTATGCATGTTCTATTCCACAGGCATTTACTAATGTTTCAAGTAAAATTAGTGGAAAAATTCACCAAATTATAGAGAATTCAGCTTAGTAAGTAGATGTTCATACGTGTCCAAATTCACATCTTTATTGTACAAAGACAAGAAAGTTGACATTGAAAAGTTTCTGCCGATTAAATATGGTACCTGGTTCCACCCAGAAGATAAAGAGAAAATATCGAAAGAACAATATCATAAAGATATTTTATGACCAGCAAATTGAGGGGCAGAAGGCCTTAATTGAAGTCAAAATATGCTTATTGTTCCCTCATACTCCAAAAGGCAGGCATCTAATTATACCACCTGTATTTGCGGTGTATTTGAACTTGGAATTTGGTACTTTTGTAAGCATTTCGTGAAATACGTCAGTGGAACGGAACACTCGCGATGTTGAGTGCTGTATAAACCATCTAGATATTTTTGAACTTAAATCAACAAGAGAAGAATGTAGATATTTTTGAACTTAATTCAACAAGAGATGAAATTAAGTTCATGGTTGCGACACTTACTATTGATTTAATGCAGTGTAAAGTTTTATTTTTACACTAGCAGGTTTGGATGTATAAATAAAAAAAAAATTTAAAAATTGAATAAAGATTATTCAACTGAAAATATAAATAAATATTAGATTAATCTTTCTTACAGCTTAAGTGCATAGATTAACCTTTATGTTTGGAAAATAGAATTCAAAAATTAAATGCAAATTATGCGTCATGCAGTTAAACAAGCTAGTATAAGGAAATTATTCACTTTGTAAGAAAGATTATATATCTATCATGTACACAAAATTGGTTAATGAAAAATACTCTCTTACACTTGTATTTTTTTTTTTTTTTTTTGTCTACACAGGGGTGTCCGGATTAATCCTTACGGGGTCCGACTAATCCCCTGGCGCCCCGCCAGGCGCCCCAACCCAGCCCAAGCACGATATGTGCGCGGAGGAATCCAGCAGAGCAAAGACTCGAACTTGGGACCTCTCGGTCACCGGTGGGAGGTGCTACCGCTGGACCATTCACGCGGGACCTCTCTTACACTTGTTAGTTAGTGCCTGAAACGGTAATCCAAATATATGGTTGGGTTCAATTGCAAAAATAATGAGTAACGTGCTTGTTCCACTCTACGTGGGTCGTTCTTCATTGAAGAAAATCGATGTTGGCCCAAGACTAATGGTTTTGTTTGAGTAGAAAGCCCTTATTGGGAAAGTCGAAGCCCAGCACCGAGCTTAAACATTGGATTCCTATACTGATTTTAGATTGACTGATCCTAATGTTAATGTCGAAGTCCCTATGCTTTCATCAAAGCATTATTTGATTTAAGTTTGGTCCTAATTTTATTAATATTAAAAAATGAGGAGGATGAGCTAAAAAGAATGCGAGCTGAGCCAGATCGGAAAGAGAGATCCTTCTCTGCCTAAAACTAATGGAAAATTGGCATTTTGTTGTAGAGAGGCTGCAATAGCTATAACAAAAATTGAGAAAATGTCTCCTATTAATTGATGATTATCAAAAAAAAAATAAAAAATGTTACTATAGTTAGATTCCTACGATTTTGACCCCTCTCAGAAGTAAGTTTCCCCACCATCCTAGTGGGACTAGTCTATCTCTAATAAACTTTTGCTTGAATGTTCAAGACTTAACCATCAGCTCTTGGGCTGGTGGTCACCACCAAGTCCTTAAGGCTTTGTTGGGGTGGGAGGCAATGTTTGAAATGCCACTCTTGTGGCTCTGCTTCAAATTCAGACGGGTGCGTAGCTTCTCCCGTAGATAGAGTAAGAGTAGGAGTAGGGATGACAATTGACAAAAAAAAAAAAAAAACAATGTTCAAGACTTGTTTTTTTGTGCCATTCTTTCATTGTCACCTCAAAAAAGAGAGGACACGTTCCTTGGTCGGTTGGATTAAGTTCAGTTACTCGCCTCCAAATAGATTAAGAAAGGAAGGGAAGCCATCACTCTCATAAGCTATCTCTAATAAACTTTTGCTTGAATGTTCAAGACTTGTTTTTTTGTGCCATTCTTTCATTGTCACCTTAAAAAAGAGAGGACACGTTCCTTGGTCGGTTGGATTAAGTTCAGTTACTCGCCTCCAAATAGATTAAGAAAGGAAGGGAAGCCATCACTCTCATAAGAGTAAGTGT